AGAAAATTAGTATTCCACGACATGTAGAGATAAATGAGAATTCAGAGCTGCATCTATTCGTTGATGCATGTATTGCTCCTATGGTGCATGTGTTTACATTATAACTGTAACGCCCGTGGGAGTCAAAATTCGATTGATCAGAGCCAAATCCAGGGTAGCGTCGTTAAAATCTCTGACAACACCTCGGTTAGAATTGATGGACTGTTGCATTGGCGCGAGGCTGATTCGCTCAGTATACGCCGCCTTAGATTTGCCTGATTTGAAAATTATTGCATGGAATGACTGTATGGTAGCACTCTGGTGGATTAAGAACCATGGTGATTGGTCAGTTTTCGTTCTGAATAGGGTAAAAATTCCTTCTCAGTGTTGGCGCCATGTACCAGGTGATTTAAACCCGGCAGATATGCTTTCGGGAGGCTAGTGGGAGAGGTTAGTTCATGTAGTAAAGGAACTGTTGAGAAGGACACTCGGTAACGCGGTTCTTACAACCGAGGAGTTGTACACAGTATTGTGCGAATGCGAGTCAATAATTAACTATAGACCTCTTACCTAGCTGTCCGAAAATCCGAATGATTTAATCCCACTTTCCCCAGCCATGTTTCTCATCGAGAATCGTAGCTTAGGTGTTCCCGATGTTGATTTCTGCGATTCAAAAGGTCTTCGAAAAAGGGCTAGACATCGTCAAAAACTACTTAATGATTTAAGGCATAGATTTAGAAAAGAATATTTAGGCCTTCTGGTGCAAAATAAGAAAGGTCCATCGTCAGAGCTACGGCTGGATGAAATTGTCCTAATAGGAGATCACATCAGAAAACGGATGCACTGTCCTCTAGCTAAGGTCATTCGACTAATTCCTGGGAAAGATGGCAAGGTGAGAACTGTAGCACTAAAGATTCAAGCTGGTACGCTGCTTCGTCCTATTCAGCGAGTCTTTCCTTTGGAAGTGCAGTTAACGGACACACCCACTGATCTCATGCACGATACTCTTTTACTAATCCTATTTCTTCTATTTCTAGTGATGAGCATTCAGATTCTAATGACTCTTCAAGGCCTCTAGTCTGGACACTGGTCGAGATCGATATCGGAAAACCAGTTGGGATACTCTTTCCACTCGACAGCAGAAGGGAGAGCTAGTCTGGCCCCTTCAAATTCCGTCGGCGGAAAGTGAAGTGGAAATTCCGTGCGGAAGTGACGTTTATTGCATAGCAACCAGTCTATCTCACCTCTACATTGCTCCAGGCTCAGGGGAAGGGGTAGTTTGTTGTCAAAGGGGCTGTTTCGCACGTGCTTATTACTGAGGATGGCGGTAGAAAAAAAAAATCCGAGTTCGAGTAAATTGTAAATTTTTCGAAAAAATACGCTGCTGGATTTAGTAAAGAGTATGGAAAAAAGAAATGGGGAAAGTTAATGGACATTTTAAACACAGAAAGAAATGGCCTTTTCAAAACTTCAGGTATGTGAAGAAACGTAAACATATTTTTATGTATGATATTTTGCAAAATGGAAATTTTCTAAAAGGTTACATGTTTGTAAACTATTTGTCAACAGAAATTTTATGATTAAAATACATTATTTTGTCTGAAAAGGTTATGCAACAACGTCATAAGTCAAATCATTGAAATATAGCACCGCGTACGCATGTTTAATATTTCTAATGAATTTGAATAAAGAAAAATGTAATTTTTAGCAACCCACGATTATATCAATAATTTTATTTATTCAGGAATTATACCTATCACGTAGCTACAAATATACTCTGTATCGTAGATACCAATAAGTAGTGAGTAAAAATATAACAAACTTTTAACAAAAGTAATAGGAAGAAAAATTAAAAAAATTAAATAACTATAGGTTAAATCATAAAACATATCTTGCACACACACACACATATATATATATATATAGATATAGATATTTTAACATATGGAGTGAAAGAAAATTGCAATACATATTCCTATTTATACCCTTTTTAAATCGATTCCACCAGTGACCGTGTGGTAAAATCGCTGAACACTGGTAGTTCGGTCCGAGGTCCAAATACTGCGAACGGGTTTGTTGTATTACCAACATATCTCTGATAACCAATATATCTGTCATTACCAACATATTTCTCGTAATTTCCAAAAGCATATAAAAAAGAAGGCATACAAAACCTGTTTTAAATAAATAACTATATGTATATATAAATGTATTATAAATATATTAATATATGCAGTGAAAGGAAATTGCAGTACATATTCCTATTTATGCCCTTTTTAAGTCGATCCCACTAGTGGCCGAGCGATAAAATCTCCGGACACTGGTAGTGCGGTCCGAGGTTCGAATCCCGTGAACGGGCTGGACGCATGGGCGTCATTACCAATGTATCTGTCATTACCTAGCTCGTATACACATATCTGTCATTAATGACAGATATATCATATATATATATATATAAAACTGTATAAATATATTAACAAATGCAGTGAAAGAAATCGCAGTACATATATTTTTATACCCTTTTTAAATCGATCCCACCAGCGGCCGGTAAAATCGCTGAACACTAGAAGTTCGGTCCAAGGTTGGAATCCCGCGAACGGGCTGGTTGCATGGACGTTTTCGTGGTTTTCCCCATGTGTTACGTGTATACGAGCTAGTTTTCCTTAGAATGTCCTCCACGAAGGCAACCCTCACTTTAGGCAGATAGCCCTCGAGGCTTTGCCGTAATTACATAAAACCAAAACTAAGCACTTTTTAGATCTGAATAAATATACACAAAACTGATGTAATATCTAAAAGTAGACCACATTAAAAAATCTGATAACTAATTATAAATCTTGCATTCTAATATTGACAAGAATTTAACCGAAAATTATACAGGAATTTAACTTGTTTTATACAGGAGGTTCTAGAAACTATTGTAAATTGACATCAGTACAGTTAAAACTACTTAAATAAATTTTTTAACTCAAAGCAATTTAATGTAACTGTTGAATTTAGGATGTGCATAGTTTGAATTACATACTGCATATTCTTTAATGCATGTCTATTGTATTACATTTTTATACACTACAAATTCAAATAAAAGTAGAGGGAAATACATTATAATTTAAAACATAAAATTTCAAAATTTATAAATTACTCATCAAAACATGAAATTAAGTGATATATATACATTAGTTTAAAAATTACAATTTTAAATTAAAAGTATGCACCCCTTCTTTATATGTGAAATAGGAAAACACCAAATATATTATTTTTACTAAAATTTAATTAAGGCATTGGTAATGTAGAATAAATAAATAATGTAGAATCGTTAGTATCAAATACGTTATTTCTATAGAGAAATACTCGAGTTTTTCACAAATTTTAAGAAATTAAAATATCTATTACGTACACTTTCAAAAACAATCCGTGACCTCCGCCGTCCTCAGTTTAGCTCTAAAACGACAGTCAGAAACTTAAACGGCAGCTGTCTAGCTGACGGAAAAATTTCCGACGCGTCGATCTCTGTAATGATCGAGACGATGACACCAGACTCGCTCTCTGTCGAGTAGATCGCAAAAACGACCCGTTCTTCTATCTCGACGGTGTCCAGACTAGGTCCCCAAATGACTCTAGTAACATCCTGCAAGGTGCTAAAGTGTCAAGATTTGGACGTGGGATCGGGGTGCCTCAGAGATTAGATCGCTTCGACCAGGTACTGTATGTCTTTGAGCCAACCTGAAGTCGACCTGAAGAGGGGAAGAACGTTGATACGACTGCTGCAGACAGACGATTATGTAACGGCTGGGCGAAGTCGACAGAAGGAGCGCAGCATTTGATTGGACTATTTCTTATTACTCTTATCTTATTCTTTAACTGCGACATAAGCGGGGAAATTCCCTTTTCACTCAGTTATATGTATGCACTTGACACGAGTTTTCCACTCGTGTGAGATATCCATATTAAAATCTTTATATTAATAGTCCTTGCTGTGAGTATTTAATTTGTAACCTGCACGTTGTAGCCCTGAGAGTTGCAACAGCCTGGGTCAGGCTAGCGGTCGGCTGCTGCTGCATTACCTGTCCGTCTGGGTTATCATTAACATTAACATTTTCATTATTCCCATTATCAACATTACCATTCAAAACATTAAATCTATAAATCTATTAGCTATTTCAACTAAGGAGACTTTTTCTAATTTCTGCTGCTTGCTAATTTATATTTGGCAATTTTAAACCATCGTTATCAATAATTCCTGAATTAGTATCTAATTTCCTTTTAGATTTACTTTCATCTTTTTTTTTCGTTTAACATAATTTGTTTTGGGGTGGAATTGCCTGAAGAGCAAGAAAAAGAGCACTTACCTCTGATCTCCGTAGCTTGCGCTTGCAGGACTTGTAGATTTTTCATCAGCGGTTCAGTAAGAATATCAGTATCCGCGACAGACCTGTTCCGTTGGTATGACTTGATAACTAGTTTATGACTCTCTATTTCTTTCTCCAAATCTATGAGCCTTTCACTATAGTAATCCAAATCCGTATCATTTATCTGTGCTTGCGGGGAAAGACCAACGCAGCTCTCCGTATTTGCAGATATCTCAGGAGGGACGCTATCGTTCATCCGTATGCAGTCATCGGTAGTCGTCGTCTCCGGCGGAGCGCTCATCATGCGCAACCTGCTCCGATTAATTTTGAAATTACTCAGTTTGATGAGGCTTATTTAAAGCAGTTGCTGTTTTTAGGGTATAAAGGGAAAATAATTTAAAGTGGAGAGATAATGGACTATTGCAAAATAAAGGTAGTATTTTACCGTGCGTACGTCTAATTTTATATATATGAGTAATTTCCTAATACATACGGCACGTACGTTAGTTTTTGCCAAGTACCTACCTATTTGTGCTCATGAAAAAGATATATACTTTTGTAATTTTTTTTGGCGGGGGTGTAATTTCTTTTGAAAGAGCTTTTCCGTTCATTATTTGAGACTTTAACTTCTTCTTTTGGCTGGGTAAGAAAATTTTTTTTAGGTTTGGCGATGTAATGGTGTTTGAATGGCATAGACTTTCTTTGGTAAAGCAACCCTAAGACTGCTCGTGGATTTTTGAGTACCACGAGCGGAAAGGTGGTGGTGAATCACCCCATACGGACACTCAGGGTGGTGTATCGTCTAGGTAGTTTTTAAAGGGCAGTCTTCTTGCTGTTAAAAAGCCTGTTGCTATGTTATATAGCGTTGTTTTTTACTTTTTGAAACTTTGCATTTAAATGAGTAAGTATAATTAGGCATATTGCGTCCAGTGATATTCGTTTTAGCATTTTCTTACGCATATCATTCATACAGTTAACTAAAGTGATGTTTAAGATAATTATCTGTTGTCCATACATCGAAATTATCCAAATGTAATGCATTGAGGGATATGCATATGCAATTCATCCAGAGCTTTCTTTGTGTACTACCAAATTACATTGCTGCCAAATTAAGGAAATCTGAGCTTTGTTGCTTGAAAATTCGTTCAAATTTTAATGCAGTAACTTCTGAGGTATTTGTTTGTTGAAAAGACATACATTTAAATATATGCATTTAATTTGGAATGTGTAACGCTGTAGGTATTTCAGACATTTTGCTCCAGTCCTTTTAAATCGTTGAGTTCTGTTTAAAACCTTTTATTCGTTTCCGCGGCCTATATGTATAATGCTTCATTATAAGAGTGACGAGTAATACGTATCAAAACTATGTAATAATTCTTATATGCATATATATTGGGGGTTTATTGTTATTTTTTGTGAAAATTCGTTTGATGTAATAAAATTTTTGATGCATTTATTAAACTTGTAATATTTTTAGATAGCTCAGTCTGGCTTTGTTGTGTTCGAATAGCCATGTATCTAGATTCTTATATGAGGAAAGTAAGAGATTGGTATTAAATGCTTTAAGATTGAAATTTGTTCCTGTATTAAGGTGTGGAATGAGAAGAGTATTTGTAAAAATGCTTAATTTTTCAAGTATTATTTTTTTTCTAGTTGCTGATGTGAATGTCTGTCTCATTGGCTTTTAGGTTTTTTTCTTGTTGAAATCTTAAGAGTTGAGTATGCTTAAAAGAAAAAAAAAAAAAAAAAGGTCCATGTTGCGATGATTTACAGCAAAGTTAAAAATATTATCCGATATTTTGCTTGAAATGTCTTACAATATGTATCTAGTCTGAGGATTTGGAAGATGTAGTTTATATTGGTCACTGATAGGACACTTAAGTGTCTTTTTTTACAATATCGGAGGTACTATTATTTTTACAAAAGTGTTCTTTATTTTTGAGTTGATCTGATTTGCATAAAATTCATTTATTATTCTTTTTTTTAACTGAGTATTTTGCAGCATTTTTTTAAGATTATGGGTTAGCAACAATATATGTATTGTAAATATAATATATATATATATATAAATATAATATGAAATAAATGAAATAAACAATGTTTTTTTTTAGTTGTTTAACCAATACATATGCATGAATTGGTAATGGCAAAGATTTTCTTTACTTACAATGTATCTTATTTAAGCTTGCTCTTTAATTTGTAACATGTGGTTTGAGTCATTCAAACGTATTTGTGTGTTGTGTTCTTGTGTCCCTGGTTAATATATTCCAAGACTTTCCACAGCTATGTGAAACTGGAAGTAATTGTGAATACTATACAAAACAGAATGTTTGTACAGTCAAAAGTCGTTAATCTGGACTCGTCAGGACTTCGGCGATTCCGGATTATAGATCATAAGTTTAAATCTGGTAAGATGGCATGCAGAAATTATAAAATTAAAAATATGAAACCGTAATTTATGAAATAAAGAATCATAATCTAAAGGGTATCAAAATTTAACAAAAAAAAAAAAAAAGAAGCTTAATATTTGTTTACTTTATTAAACATTTCTTTCAATGTAAGTTGTTTAAGTTGCTTCGTTTTATGTGATAATACTTTCTCTTTAATTCTATTAACAGACATAATTTCGGTTGATCTTTGGATTATGGTAACTTGGTGATTTTTTGGCAAAAATATGGCGACCAACTCTGCTACAGCAACCTCCTATTTTTTTTTTTTTCCGTCGCCATTTTGTCTTCACGAAGTAAAGACATGTTTCTTTTCTTTTTATTTACTCAACACTTTTTCCAACAATCTGCTAGCCGAATTACACTTATGCTAGAAATTTTATGGAACAAAACTGCTTAATCATGACGAATATTAACTGCAAAATTGGGAAAAAGTGCAGAATCGCAAACTCCTTGCCGCGTTTTTCAAAATCGCACATACACAGTAACCATGTACACATCGACTTATTTTTACTTAAAAAAAAATCCCAGAATTGCACAAAAATGGCATTGCGCAAACTCTTCACTATATCCATGTACACTGCTTTTTTCTCATAAATTAGAAAAATTTCACGAAAATGCATGAAAATTTTGTAAATCTTTAAACTCGGTAAAAAGGACATATATGAAATTACCTGATCACGAAAAAGTATATAACCTTTCCAAGGATGGACATTTGCACGTATAAAATAAATAAAATATCCAAAAACTTTTACCTCTAAATTATCTATTATAAACGTCACCAACGAATTTATAACAAAACATTAAAAATGATTACAAATACTTAAATTCTTTCCATGCACATTTACTTCTACTCAAACGTATTCCAAAATACTACAAACATGTAACTCTCAAAATCACGATCATTAAATTAAAATGTAATTAAATTAAAAAACACTACTTAAAATATAAATAAGCACATACATTAAATTAATAAAAAGTAGCTTACAATCTTAATTACTTGCCCCGTGTTTGTACTATGTGGTGCACGGGGAGTCTCTATGTTCTCAAAGGAAAAAAAAAAAAAAATCCTAATTACTTTAAACTAAATCATTGCTAATAACAATTTTCCAATAATAACATATTAATTTATTTACTCCTTACATTTAGAACAATGCATAAAAATAATATCCTCAAATAATTAAAAATACTAACTTACCTAATTTTCTACAGAATCTTGAGTGCATGGCGGATCACAAAATGTCCATTTTCACCAGGTTTCTTGCACCGCCATTCAAACTATCTGTAATATCCTTCCTTTCACACAATCTCATTTCATTCCCACATATTGAACATTCATACTTATCTGCAATTAAGAAATTCTTTTCAATTACACATAAACATAATAAAAATTTCGGATTTACTTTATATACGGCCATGGGATCCAAATATTAAACAACACTGTTTCACAGAACATAGAATGAAACTACTGCTATAAAGTACAGCAGATATTTTTACAAATATACCCCCTTTTCCGATTAAAGAACAGTGATTCGTGCATTAATGTCACAGACATATCTCATGATCTCTCATTTCCCTCACACAAAATAATGCGAAATCGGAACCGAGTACTTCTCACATTATTCCCAAAGTCCTAGGTAGTAACCTTTATTGCCTCCAAAATGTCGCCAAACTACCTGTTACCATATTCCAAAGATCAGCCATAATTTCTTCTTCAGTTACAAAGTTCCGCTGTTCAAATCCTATAATTGATGTGTCGAGAATACCGACTAATTTGTCAATCGAAACTTTTTCGTTTTCAATAACCGTGTTACTTTCTTCTTTATCAGAAGCGAATTATAATGCTGAGGAATTTGATTTAAATCATATCAAAGACAGAGTACATCGAAATGAAATACTACATTTAGTAAGGAATTATAAGCCAAATAAAATAAAAACATCTGCCTTGAAGATAAAGATAGTGCTGACAGATTAACTTCCAATTCATTGTGCGCCTGGGCGTTCCCCCTTCCCCCCGCCGCAGAGCAGCATGAAATTTATAAACACATTTCATAATGGTTAGAGAAACTAAGGATATGCCTTTATCCATTTTTTTGCAGCAATTCCACTTTTTGTTTAATAGACTTCGAATACTTTCGCTTTGTAGATCCTTTACATATTAGTAAAATATATCAGAAATTTCTATTTGACATAATCGAAAGTTCAAGCTTACTTTTATAAATTGCTCTAACAGTCTGCAAAAAATAATAAGCCAGATCCAATTCGAAAATTAAGGAACAATGCAATCTGCAACATTAACTGAATTAGATAATTTTAGTTTAGCTTATACGGTCCGTTATACATTAAACGTGCATGCGTAAACGTATTATGCGCATCTGCACACGCATATTCGCAGCCGTAAAGGTCTTATTGCATGTGTCAACGCGATGCATGCGCAGAAAGTTTGTAGCTTTGAGATCCGGATTATAGATTACTCCGTATTATGGGTGTCCGAATTAACAACTTTTGACTGTATAACATTAATATGGCCAGATTTAATTGCTTAATATACTGTATAGGGTTTAGGATTGTCATTGATTAGCACCTGATTCGTCGATAACCATCGATAACTTAAAAACCACATATTCTCAATTGACAGGTATGGGGTAAGACTATATTCATACATACGCATAATTCTTTTCCTTTTTCCATGTTTGATATTTTTAGTTTTAACGTTTTGCCATTAAGAACTTTTACTTGTTTTTTGTGAGGTATAAAATTAAACGACTTTGTTGTAATTATTTCATTGCTTATGTTATTTGTAGCAGCAGTTATTGTGCATTTTATTTCATTAAAGTTTGCAATTTGAAGAATTTAACAAACTAGGAAATCCAATTTATCTCTCCCCTTGCTGAGGGGTTAGCTAAGTAAATTAGGATAAATTGAGACTGTTTTTATTTTTATTTAAGGTCATCTAATAACAACCCCTTGTAATTTATTATTGTGCAATAAGATAAGATGGGAAGAAGCACATGGGAAACCAGAACATTAGCAGTTTGTGATACAGGTACTCTTTCATGCTGCTGTTGATCTAGTGAAGCATGGTTGCAGAGGCTCCATACTCTTTCCAGAATTTAACAGTTCATTGTAATTGTTTAGAAGAGTATATATACTAAAATAAAGACCAAGGAGTGACATTCTTTCATTTATAATTTTTATAATTAATAACAGTTTGGCGTGAATTACAAAATGAAAAGCAAATTAGACCATTCGGTACTTTTCAGTTTTGCCTGCGCAAATCTCGTCAAGCAGACTTTGTTGGCGACAACATACAGTATACACATAAAAAATGTTAACAAATATTAGTTCTAAGAATTTTTTATTTTGAAGGCATAAAACATTTTAATATGGTTTAAAATTTTGTAAAAAGCCGATAAATAAAGACAATAAATTTGTAAAAAGGCATTAATTTAAG